CTTCCTCATGGCTAAACAATATTCCATTATGCATATATATTACATCTTCTTTATCCATTCATCAATTGACAGATACTTAGGTTATTTCCACATCTTGGCTATTATGAGTAACGTACTACTTTTCTAATATAATTTGGGCTGGGTGTAACAAAAAAGCACTTAATTCACCTTAACTTTTATAACTCTAATACAATTTTTTCTGATTTTAAATTGTAATATCATCACATTTTTAAAGTTACATGTCAACATTTAAAAATCTTCAAATCATTAAAACTTGAAAAAAGTATGTGTTATGCATAGGACAGATATCTTAAATTCATTATTTTTAAAATACTTATTAAACATCTTTGTGCAAAACACATACAAAATAAGATTCCTTATAAATTAACGTAATATTGTAAATCAATTATACTTCAATTAAAAATAAATAAGATCACTTCTGCCCTCGAGAAACTTATAAACCAGTTGGAGAAATAAACCAAGTGTGAAAAACTACACTACAAACAGTACTGTTCATCAAAAACAATGCTCTCAATGAAAAACAGTGCTCGTCGAAAACAATTACAGTAAATAAAGAATGACTTGAAACAGGATTTCAACAGAAGCTAAGGTTTGGGTAATATTCTGATAGGCAGAGACAGGGAAAGACAGCATTTCAAGACAGGAAAGTCTCTGATATTAAACTAAGGAGTTTGAACCTTATCCTTTAACCAACAGTGAACCCTAAATGACTTCCAAGCAGTGGGTTTATAAGGAAGGCTCTTTGGAGGCATTAACAGAATAGGGTTGAGAGCGAGAGAAATGAGACAGCTGGAAAAAATACAGGTACAATTTGTTGGGTTAACCAAAAAGTTTGTTTGAGTTTTTCCATGACATCTTAACCATACACCTGATTGAGTATCTGTCTCATTGTTTTCCATTATTAGTACACAGCAAAAAGAGGATAAGTTTTTACTCAGGGTTGCTCAAAGACAATTTATTATATTTCATAAGTCCAGTAATTCTAACTATTTCAGCATTTTATTAGCAGTGATAACTCACAAAATTTTCATTAACATACCAGCATCTTTGAACAGAATGGTTTTCTCTCACATACAATACGTCCCTTTAATCCTTTTCATACACTGCCTATTAAAACTATCTTTTTCATAGAAAGTGTTCATATATTTAAAATAACCAATGACCTGAGAATTAAGATAAGATTAATTTAGAATTACAGCATTCTAAAGTATCATTTTGTGGTTCACAGAGACTTTTATATTCACAGTTAAGTAGTATATTAAAGGAATAATTCTAGGCTCTCTGATACAGTACAAAACACAATTTATCTCATACAACCCCCATGTCAATCATAAATCATAATGTGCTTTAAACAGCAGCTTCATCTTCAAAGCTGAAATCAGTCCTTTTACAATACCCTTGGCAGAAATACATCATCAACTGCTCCATCAAGTAACTCGCACCTCTAGTGCCCCAATCTAACAGACATACCAAACCTTTCTGGAGTCCCCATTTTTGGTTCCAAAATATATGAATGGATCTCTGTCGTAAATTCAAGTAGTTTAAAACTCCTAAGTATAATCACTAAGTAGAGAAAGCAAATTTACACCAACACATTACAATGAAAATGAGTCACACCCTCAGACTAAAAATGAAATCAAAAGCAAAATGACTATCAACAGAAACTCTTAGTTATCGATACATCTAAAAAGCACTCTACTACACTTCTCAAATTTGAAGTCAGGAAAGAATTTTGAAAAGATATGACGATAACACTTGGATCCCAAACAGCTACGTAGGGTATACAACAGTCACTGTAAGAGGTACATAAAAGCTCACTAGAAGACCCACAAAATGCACACATTATTCTTAGAGATTTTATTTTACTGTTTTCATAGCCTCATCTCTAATCAACATTTTCCAGGCAGCTATTCTTTTAGACATTAAAAAATAAATAAATAAGCAGCTAGAGTATTAAATGCACGTTCCTCCCACAAGGCTAGTTTTTTCTTTTTAAAAATGCATTCCTCCTAAGTGAATTTAATTTACTAAAAGAGCCCTAACAAAATTTTAAGAAAGCAAATTGTGTTATATCCTCACATCTTTTTGAGCATGTTTCTCCATGTCTCTAAATGCCCTCAAGCTGCTTTTAAAACCTCAAATTCCATAAAACCCTTCTTCAGATCTTCAAAATTCGCTTTATTCTGTAAAATATTACTTGCATATACAATCTCTCCAAAATCAAAGCTTTCATGTTCTCATGCAAACATTTTAAACCCATTCATTCTACATTACACAGGAACGACTGATAGCTACTCAATTTAGCTAGAGGTCTTTTCACTTTTAAAAGAAGTTTGTTAACCTAACTTACATAGGTTTAACTTACACAGTTTAAGTTTAAAAATTTAAAAAATCAAAATAAACACTGGAGTCTAGCACCTGTTCCCCATTCACCCAGCTACAGACTTTAAAATCATCTCGTCCAATATTTGATTTCTAAAGTGACGGTGATGTCAAAGTTAACCATAAGTGAATTTACAGTACCATGGAGCCTCCTCTAAGGTATTCCTGAATTTCCTTTCACATACTTCTGAACCCATACACTCTGTACAACCTAAATTTTTGCACAATCTTAATGACAGTGACCCCAGCATTTCTATAGAAGGTAGTTATCTGTGTGCATCATCAGAATTTGAAGGAAAGGGGTATGACAAGTTTTACATTCCAGGATTGCCGTAGATTTGTTTAGTATCTCAGTCCAAAAGAAAAACAAAACATAAAAAAAACCCTGATATTCTCAATATCCACAACATCCCTAATAAAGTCAAGGAACATTTTTGTTTCTTTTACAGATAAATAAAGTAGCCTACAGGCTTCTGGTCTATTCTTCCTTCATATTAAATTTATGCTGTGTACTGCACTTAGTCGCTGTTGTGTCTGACTCTGACCCATGGACTGCAGCCTGCCAGGCTTTTCTGTCCATGGGGATTCTCCAGGCAAGAATATTAAGAGTGGGTTGCCATGCCCTCCTCCAGGGGATCTTCCCAACCCAGGGATCACACCCACATCTCCTGCATTGCAGGTGGATTCTTTACCGACTGAGCAGCCAGGGAAGCCCAATTATACTAATGTGAGTAGCCTATCTCTTCTCCAGGGGATCTTCCCAACCCAGGAATCAAACCGGGGCCTCCAGCACTGCCAGACAATTCTTTACCAACTGAGCTATGAGGGAAGCCCATATTAAGTTTAGTTATGCCTAAAATTAAGTTGTGTTAGTGGCTCAGTCCTGACTGTGACTCAATGGACTATAGTCTGCCAGGTTCTGCTGTCCATGGAATCCTCCAGACAAGAATACTGGAGTGGGTACTGGAGATTCCCTCCTCCAGGGGATCTTCCTGACCAAGGGATCAAATCCGAGTCTCCCGCATTGCTAGCAGATTCTTCATCGTCTGAGCCACCAGGTGTTGGGTGATAAAATTAAGTTAGGCCTTTTTTGGAGTTAAGGAAAGTTATATTTCAGGCTTTACAGTTTGTTACATTAGAGTGAAATTATGAACTAAATTCAGAAGGCAATTTAAAATTCACCTTCTAATTATTTTTTCTTTATATGCCCTAAAAATAATATATACAAACAAAAAAAGAAATTACTCAAGTGGCATACATGATGTAAATGAATCAGTCTCTCATTTAAGAACCAGATGATATGCAATACATAAAAACATACAATCAAGCACCAGACAGAAGTGTCACATTGCTGTTTTGTGACAACAAAACAACACAAAGCCCTGTTTTGTTCTGAGATGTATTTAAAAATTAAATCAGCCAAAACTTAATGGCAAACACTATAATTTAAAACCTAACTATTACAGTATATAAAAGATACCAGAAATACCTAAATCTCATCATTACTTTTACCAGGGCTGTGTGTGAGGATAGTCAAGGGCCTTACAGGCATTCAAATAGTCACAGAGATGTGACAGTTTTAACTAATTTGATTAAACCCAGTATTTCACATGTATCTAACAAAGCTAAGGTCGAAACCTATTTCCACCTGGTAAAAATCAGCTCTCAACGGATAACAACTTCACTCTGACATAGATTAGTACCGCCTTCTCTTGGGAGGGTGGGGGGAAATTTTTATCTTCTATTCTGTTGCTCATAAACAGATCTGTAGCAGCGTTCAAGGAAAATAAGGAAATCCAACACTTATTTTTTAAGTTATTCTTTCAACCACTCACTAATTAGATACAAGAAATAAAAAAGCACGATTCACACAAAGCAAAAACATTACACCGGTTCAAGCGCTTCCCAAATCTTATTACTTCCAGGTGCGAATACCGGGAGGCGAGCGGACAGATTGAGTCCCACTTCCGCTCCTACTAACCCCCCTATAATTCTCTACAGAAGAGTCCAAGAGCTGCAGAGAAAATAACTGACCTAAAAGTGGAGAGAAGTTGGGGTAAGGCGAGGAATTGGGTTACCAGACCTTCAGTTAAAAAAAAAAAAAAAAACCTCTGGCTGTAGTTGCTAGAAATGTTATCACCGCATGTCAAGTCTGGCACTGACTGGGTAAAGCCCAACAGGCTTTCCCCAACTTCAAAACAATGGCCTTTAAAGCAAGGTAGGACTAGGAACACAACAGCGGCCAGATTCCTAGTTGTGGAAAGTTTAAACAAATTTGTTCCTCGGCGAATGGGGGAAGAGAGAGGAAGGAAAGTCTGGACTCGGCCGAAGGAGCGCGTGGGGTCCGCACAGTGCGCGGCCGCCGGCCCAACGCAGGGAGGTGCAGGGATTTGGGGCAGCAGCGACGGCATCCACTCCGGAGCCCTGGCCAGAGGACGTGTCCAGATCCGGGGGTTCGCGCAGCCAAAGAGGTGGAACAAGGACGGCGAAGACGAGTGGGTCTGGTGCGAAGGGGCAGGGGTCCCAGACTCTGGGTGGAAGTTGGGGGCGGGATTGTGCCGGGAAGCCGGGAGGAAGCGGCGAGAGGCTCTACTTACCCGACTGTACCAGATGCTGAGGCGAGCTGGGGCCAGTACGGCGAAGAAAGTCCTCTGGGGGTCGGACTGAACGTGGAAAGGCGCTTCGGCCGGGCTCCCCAAAGGGCAGAGCAGCCTCTTGGGCCAGCCGCTCAGGAAATACATGGTCCGCGCGGAGCCTCAGACGCCGCGGCGCCAGGCGGCCCCCGGCCCCGTCCGTCACACTCAGCGGCCCAGGGTCGGACGCCCGTCTCCCACACCGCCACCGGCCGAGTCGGCGGCGGCGCCGGTGGCAGCTCCGGGCATCTGCCCTCTGGCCGGGCCGGGCCAGGCCGACACTACGCTAAGCGACGAAGGCAACCCAGCGCAGACGGGGCCCAGTGTGGGGGTAGGAGGGGGAGGGAGAGCCTGGATGGAGAGGGGGCGGGAGGAGCTGGAAGTCCCTCCCCGGCCCTGGTCCCGCCCCTTCCTCGGGCCGCACTGGCGTCACCACGCCGCGCCGCGTGTGTCTTGCCTGTGAGGGCTGCTGCGCGCGTGCGTACTGGAGATATCTTCGCTCCCCTCTGCTGTCTGAAACTCCGCCTTGGGCTTCAGCTCAACACGCATGCGCTTTGCCCTGCTCTGGCTCCTCTGCGCCTCCCAGTTGCTATGTAGGGTGTATAGTCAGGGCTGGCAGGCAGGACAAGTGCCTGGGACTCGGCGACAAGTGGGCCGAGCTGGCAAGACGCAGCTACTCGGCGACTACGATCTGGGACTGCCCCTTGCCTGGCCAAATTTAACTTTCTTTCCCTGATTGGTGAAGTCTCTGGTGGGAGTGGGTCCGGAGCTGCATCGCCTGGGTCGGGAGGCACGTGCAGGGGAGGGCGACTCACGTGACGTTTGCTGCTCCAGTTCCTGTCCTGGCTTGTGGGCCGCGGTCTCTGTGCAGGGTTGTGGGGTCCCTCATCCAGTGAACCCTTGTTGTATGCCAAGGTCTGCAATGAAACCTGGTGGTGACGTTCCTGCCCTCATGGAGTTTACACCCTAGAGGGGACCTTTATTTCAAATCATAAATAAATCACTTGCCGTGAAAGTGCCTGAATCCTGTTTTCTGTCCTTCAGGAATTCTAAATGTAGTGTATATTTTTAAATTCGGTTTGCAATCTTGTGTCCATTTACCAGCCATAATGTTAGACAAGGTAAGGCTTTCTCTTTTGCACTCTCAGTAGAGTATGTGATTTAATATTGGAACTGGAACTGCCTTTAGCGATTCTGTAGCTCGATGTTTAATTTTTTGGACCCCAGGGATCACCTTAACAGTAAGAGTTCCTTTAAGCATTGACCCTGGGATTACCTCTGAAAAGGAGGATGTAGGAGTGGCGAGGGAATGTGGAGTAGGGGAATGGGGTTCTGGATTAAAAGACTTTTTTATCATTATCTGCGTCTTTGTACAGTCTGAATTTTTCCCTGTGTTTCAATTAAAAGTTTGGTTTTTTTTAAGAGTCAGCCCAAGTGTTTTTTTTTTTTAAGTTAACTCACATGAATAAATAAACAGCAAGAAAGGAAAAAAGTAACTTAATCCATATCAGATGTAGTATTTTAGCTGGTACTCATAGCAAAATATGCAACTTTCCATAATTTTCCTAAACATTCACTGCATTCCCCAGAAGGTGATCAAAGAATCCAGGATTCCTCAAAGCAAAGTTTAAACTGCCTCACCACTCACCAGCCTCTTGTGGCCAGACTGTGTCTCCTTCCTGGTGTTTTTTTCCTGACAAACAGCATAGCAGCCTGGAACATATTAAATAGTAAGGCTGGTAAACTGAAAATATTTGTCAAAGGAAGCTTTGGATGAAACCCTGATAAAACTAAACTGCACCATTAGACAAAGAGGCCCAGAGCAGTTTCTTGACTTGCTAATATAAAATTGTAGAAAAATAACACAGTTGCATCATACAGTCATCTAACATTCTCAGATTCAGTTATGCATTTGGCAGAAAGAGAGAGGAAATTAAAGTTAAGTTAGAGGGCACCAATTCCACTTGAAAATTTCCTAAGGGTGTATTTCTCCCAGCTCTCCTTCAGAGGGTCTTTGTTCTCACGTGCCTCCTAAATGCTAACATTTAACTGCACTCACACAGTTTAAGGAACTTGTAAGTACTTTTCATTGCACTCAGTTTTAACTTTACTTGCTGATTTATAATATAATTTCCCGAACACATTCCTTGTAGCATTTAAGGATTGCAAAATATTTTCAACTGCATGACTTGATTTTGTTCCACAGCTAATCTTCAAGGTAGGTAATATTGGTGTGATGTTAACAGGACCAGAGTGGTGGACATGCCTAAAGTCACCAGTTCTGAAAAGAACTGGTCTTCCTTCTACAGATCTAGTGATTCTAGATTGAACTGACCTGTGGTAGTTGCTCCAGACAGTGAAATCCTATAGCCCTTTCTCCCTGTTGAGGGAGAAGTGAAATATCTGACTCTCTCTACAACCCCCTTACTTAAGAGTCCCCCTCTCCATTGTGATAGAAACCCTATGAATGGGATTTTCCAACTTTCAGATATCACAGTCTAGCATTAATCTGTAAAACACACTAGCAATTACTATGCTCTGGATGTACCTTCTCTTCCTTTCCGCACACCACTGTCACTTTCAAGTCAAACATATTGAACTCTATTCTGAGCTAAGACTAAGGTGTTTCAGTTCAGTTCAGTTCAGTTCAGTGGCCTCAGCCGTGTCCGACTCTTTGCGACCCCAGGAATTGCAGCACGCCAGGCCTCCCTGTCCATCACCAATGCCAGGAGTTTACTCAAACTCATACCCATCGAGTCAGTGATGCCATCCAGCCATCTCATCCTCTGTTGTCCCCTTCTCCTCCTGCCCCCAGTCCCTCCCAGCATCAGGGTCTTTTACAATGAGTCAACTCTTCGCATCCGGTGGCCAAAGTACTGGAGTTTCAGCTTCAGCATCAGTCCTTCCAATGAACACCCAGGACTGATCTCCTTTACGATGGACTGGTTGGATCTCCTTGCAGTCCAAGGGACTCTCAAGAGTCTTCTCCAACACCACAGTTCAAAAGCATAAATTTTTCGGCACTCAGCTTTCTTCACAGTNCTTTTTCGATGATCCAGCAGATATTGGCAATTTGATCTCTGGTTCCTCTGCCTTTTCTAAAACCAGCTTGAACATCTGGAAGTTCTCGGTTCACGTGTTGCTGAAGCCTGGCTTGGAGAATTTTAAGCATTACTTTACTAGCATGTGAGATGAGTGCAATTGTGTGGTAGTCTGAGCATTCTTTGGGATTGCCTTTCTTAGGGATTGGGATGAAAACTGAACTTTTCCAGTCCTTTGGCCACTGCTGAGTTTTCCAAATTTGCTGGCATATTGAGTGCAGCACTTTCACAGCATCATCTTTCAGGATTTGAAATAGTTCAACTGGAATTCCATCACCTCCACAATTTTGTTCGTAGTGATGCTTTCTAAGGCCCACTTGACTTCACATTCCAGGATGTCTGGCTCTAAGACTGAAGTGTAAGGGAAATCTAATAGGTACAAAGTTTCATGTCTCAAACTAATGGACTCTTTTTAATTACAAGCAATAGTGTTGGGACACAGGAACAGAGGTACATTTATACACTGTTGCTGGAAGAATAGCTGGTGCAATTTTTCTAAAGAGTAGCTGGTGTGCTGAGTGCTTAGCCGCTCAGCTGTGTCTGGCTCTCTGCGACCCCATGAACTGTCGCCTGCCAGGCTCCTCTGTCCATTAAGATTCTCCAGGCAAGAACACTGGAGTGGGTTGTCATGCCTTTCTCCAGAGGATCTTCCCAAACCAGGGACAGAGCCCAGGGCTCCCACTTTGCAGGCAGATTCTTTACTGTCGGGGCCACCAGGGAAGCTCAGAGAATAGCTGGTATTAAATTTTTAGAAAGAGAGAGAGAGAGCTTAGAGATACGCTTCCTTTGGAACCAACAATTTCTTTTCCTTTGGTGATTTTCTAAGAAATAAACACCAGTATGTACAGAGTTTAGCTTTAAGAATGTACCCCACAAAGGTGTAGCTAAGAGGAAATAACCTAAATGTCCTTCAAAAGACATTAGCTATAGTCCTTCCTTACAATGAAATGTTTTGCAAAAATAAAGTTATGATGGGGAAGAAAATTTAATCACATAGAAGTATATTCAGTATATATTATGAACTAATGAAAGCAGAAAAAAAGGCGGTATATAAAATATCCCATGTTCATGAAAAAAAATGTTTAAAAATGCCTAGGAGAAAATAGAAGAAAATCACTAAAATATTGGTGTTGACCCCTGATTATGGGAGCTTTTTTATGTTCTTTGGGAGGCTTTTTTTGTGTTTTCCAAACTGTCTATAAAGAATACATTTTACTTTTGTAATGAGAAAAAATTCCATAAGACAAAGTTAAGTTGCTAATGATTGATAATGCCCCACTTTTTCACTTTAAGTGAGGCCTACAGCTCAGGCAAATCAAAGAAAGCAATGTACTAATGTGGCGCTTCAGGCACTGTTGCAAGACTGGCAAGAGAAGGATTAGGAGGAAAAGCACTCTGAGTCATCAAACTAAAAGTAGGCTCTCTGCCCTTCACACATTCACAGACTTCTTATGACGGTACATAACTGACTGGATTCTGATTCTGCGCACACCACTCCCAACTTGGTGGGACCTCTATAAGAGCCTATCACAATATTCACTGAATATGATACTGCTTTAGTTTTGGATTGTTTAATATGCTTTAAACATTCAACTTTATGATATTTTTGCACATGTATTTTTGTATTTTTTTTGTATTTTATTTTTGGTGCTCGCTTCAGCAGCACATATACTAAAATTGTATGATATTTTTGTATTTATATTTGCTAATGTATTTGCTTCTGGGATGGATTCTTGATTTGCATTTATGCCCTCCTGAAGATTGATAATATCTCAGCTGAAATAATACGATGCCTGGGTTGTGCTTCAAGATAATCTGAGGGTGAGTGGAGAAGGTGAAAGTATGTATGAAACAAATTTGGCCATGACTTGATTATATTTGAAGCTAAATGATGACTACTAGGGAACTCAACATGTTATTCACTCTACTTTTCCATATGGTTGAAATTTTGATTTGAAAAGTACAAACATTTAAATTTTTTTAAATGTCAGTAAATGAAAATGTGATTAACCAGTCTACCTTG